CACACACACACACACACTAATACACTCGCACACATAAACATACACATAAACACACACATTTAATTAACTACCTTAATGGGGACATTACATACATATATTGCTTTTTATATGGCTTGTTATAGATGCTGTAACCCTAAACCAAACAGAAACTACTGAGGTTTTGTCAGGTTTAACTCGCTTCTAGGTTCATATTTGCCATTAGAAAGCAAATCTCTGTATTAAATATGCTTCAGCCTGGATTTATAGCTTGAACTGGTTTCAAGATTCTTGGGGACGACTGACATGTGACTTTAACAAGATGATTGAAATGAGTTTGAGACATTAATGAACTCACTGAATATGACTGACAGGACGAGATGAGTGACGCTTTCACTGCGTGTGTGTGTGTGTGTGTGTGCTGAGCTGCAGGAATCTCTCACACACTCGTCTGATGGTAACAGTGTTTCTCTCGCTCGACTGTGAAAGTCACTGAAGGGCAGAGCGACAGAAATCGAGCGTCGTCCTTCTGCTCTCCGTTACCCATCAGCTCTCGCTCTCTCTCCTGCGCTCTTCTGAGGCGTTTAAGACAAACAGTAAGAGAAGGGCGAGGGCTGATGAAACAGACATGAGCGATTGACATCATTCAGACGGAGACGCAGCGTCTGTGAGAGAGACGGATTAATCAGACATCACAAACACAAAAAAAAAAATATGCCAAAGTGATTGAGGAAAACTGTAAGATATCCCAGAATGCTCTTTCAATGTTTGTGAGAGAGACGGATTAATCAGACATCACAAACACAAAAAAAAAATATGCCAAAGTGATTGAGGAAAACTGTAAGATATCCCAGAATGCTCTTTCAATGTTTGCACAGATCTGGTTTGTGTTAATGCGGCGGCGTGTGTTTGTGTTGCAGGTGAACACACGTATAAGTGCATGTCGTGTCCGTTCTCCACCATGACCATCATCCAGCTGAAGGAGCACTCGCTGCAGGAGCACGGAGAGACGCTCACGCTGCCCAAACTCAGAGCTGGAGCCGCGCTGCGCTCCACACGACCCACCGCTGAACACGACGAGCAGGACACGGCCCTCGACCCACAATGCACCGGTAAGACCCAACACTGGGGTGAAAGGTCGGTGCAGAAACACCCTGATGCTGAACATGACGTGCATGTGAAAACAGACCAATTCTTTAGTGTTTGACTTCTTGCATTGAACATTTTAATTATAATTGGCAACAATTATACATGCATTTAGAGTCAAATTCAGCAAGTCAGCTTTATTTATACAGCGCTTTATACAATACAGATTACAATACAGTGTCAAAAACACTCTGATGCTGGAAATGACATGCATGTGAAATATCATTCTTCTTTTAGTGAAGAAACGGACTGGTTGTTTAGTATTTGACTTCTTGCATTGAACATTTTGAATAGAATGAAAAAACAACAAATAATTGTACTCTAAATGCAACAATTATACATGCATTTAGAGTAAAATTCCCAATATTGACAAAAGGGTGAAAAATATTGACGCCAGTAAGAATTTTTTATTAATTAGCTTTTATTGAACAAGGACACATTATATTGATCAAAAGTGAAAGTCTGGGCATTAATAATGTTCTAAAAGATTTATATTACAAATAAATGCTCTTCTGCTGAATCCTGAAAAATCTAATGTATCACGGTTTCACAAACACATCGTGCAGCACGACTGTTTTCAGCATTGATAATAATCAGAAATG